AACTTCTGGCTGACCTATATCTATTAAATAACAAAAGGTACTCGGGGGCTGCTTGCATATAGCCCTTGTGTCCACAGCCCCCGGTGACACCCATCGCTGGTGACACCCATCGCTGCTGGTACCCACATCTGAGTGCACGGGGGGTGCTGCCAGAAAACAAACCAGCCGTGAAAGTATGGCCATCCCACGCTTGATTCCCCTTGGAAAGCAAGCCCTGCTCCGGCCGGGAAAGGATGCTCGGGGCCTTGTCCAGAGGGATGCTGAGAGCTCCACGCTGGATGGGATCAGCGCAGGCATGTCCTCACCCCGTCCTGAGCCAGGGCTGGAGGTGGGCACAGCCCCGTAGCCTGTCCCCTCTACTGGGACCATCCAGGGTGGGCTGGAAGCCCTCCCCAAAAGCGCCTTGGGGGACCCTCGCCTGTCTTCCGAGATCAGAGGGAGACAGAGCATCCCAAGGCGTTCCATGCCGCACCTGGAGACACAGCCCGAATTTCTCCCGGCAGGGTCTGAGGAGGGATTCATCTGGAGAAGTTCCCTTCCTGCCCGTGAAATTCAATGTAAAGAAGAGAAATTTATCTTTTCCTAGGGAAAAAAAAATATTCCCCTTCGGACAGGTCCGCCCAAGCGTGGCTGCTATCCGGAAGACATCCACCCTCCTGGCTGGGTTTGCCTCCCGAGAAGGCTGAGCATCCCCGCGGCGCCCCCCACTCTCTCCATCATCCCTGGAGCCTCTGGTCCTCCCCGGCACGCTGCCTCCTCTCCTCTCCTCTCCGCTCCTCGGAGAGCTGTGTGAAACACCAGAGGCGTCAGCGACAGCTCCGGGGGAGAACCCGCGGCCAATTTGCCGCCTCCATGAAATCCAAACCCCTGTGAGCCGGGCTCGCCAGATCATTTAGCCCCAGAGACGCATGGCAGAGAGATGGGAGAGATAAAAGACCCTGAAAAACCCTCCGAAATTCGGCCTCGCGGCTTCTCTTCAGTAACGGCTTGTTTTCTTTGAAAGTTCAAACGCGGGTCGGCCAAGTTTTAAACCGTAAAAATCATAGAGCGGCGAGAGGGAGAAGGGAGGAGGGCTCCGAAGGATCCCCCCAGATGGTTTTCCAGCCCCAAAAGCACGTTTGGGGGTCGGGGCGGGGAGGGAGGAGATGCGAGGTCACGGGTGCTGCCCATCAGCACCCCGCCAAAGGGTGCTGGGGTGCTAAAGGGATGTTTGAGTAGGTCCTACGTAAACAGCATCCTTTCGCCGGGCCGGGTAACAAGAAGGTGTGTGGGGGGAATTGGGTTGTGTTAACACGAGGTGGGATCGGCAGCGAAAAGGAGCATCCTCGGGGATAATTCCCAGCAGGCTGGACGGATATCCTTCTGCCAAGGGAAAGATTTTAGGCGGAAATATTACTCCTGCCCTTAAATGGAAGAGGAGCTTCAGCCCGTGGGGAGCTGCTCCAGGCTTTCCTGTGCCGAGAGATCCCAGGGGTTCGGCCTCCATCCTCCACCAGCAACGCTCCCAGGGCAAAATCCTGCCCCGGAGGCAAGGGGGGAAAAAAAACCCAAACCTTTTTTAGAGAAATCTTCAGCCACCGGGCAGGTATATGCTCTTCCATAAGGAAAAATAAGCCCTTCTCGGAGGTGGATGGGGTGAGCCACGTGCTCCCAAGTGGCTGGTGGGACTGGGCCAGACCTACAGCTCCGCAGCAAGGGTTAGCGAAGGGCGCTGGAGCCTGGCGGTGAGATTCCCACAGCCCCGACACCCCCAGTTTAGGACAGCCCGAGCAGTTTTGTTTCAGTTCTGCCTCACAGACATTGTCCAGAGTTTCTTCTTGGTGGAGCATTTCTCTCCGTCTCCCCTCCTGGTTGCAATTTGGGGTGAAAACAAAGGTTTCTTCAGGGTCAGAAGTGCTGATGTTTGCTCCGGGAAGCCGCCGGCCATGGGTGCAGGACCTCGCAGGTGACCACCACCACCCTGATTTCCTTCAGCAGGGACGACAGCTATGGGGCCGCATGAGGAGCACACAAAGTCCCCTTTCCACAGTCCTCCTGCCGCTGCGCCCCACAGCTCCCAGATTTGCCAGGGCCGCTGGATTCCACCTCTGCCACCTCGCTCCTGGTTTGTCCCCTCCTGGCTTTTATTGTCTCTGCAGAAAGTCTTCTCCTAGCCTCTGCCGCTCTCCTCTCCCTAGGAAGCCATCTCCATCCTACTTCTGGCCCGTCCCTCGCACCTCTGCATCCCACCATCACCTTCTGCCATCCCCGAAATCCCACGTCCCGTCTGGGGCCGGTTCCAAGGGATGCTGGAGAGGGTCTGGCGAGGGTGTTGGTGGGATGGTCGGGGCTGGGGACACACAAGGAGAGGGGACGACCTGGGCCAAGAGGTGGCTGGGGTCTCCAGCCCACGGCTCGAGGATGGCCCCAGCATGGAGTGGTCCATGGGGGAACGCCGGCAGCCCTCCTCCTCCTCCTCCTCCTCCTCCTCCTCCTCCGAAGACCCTATTCCAGAGGAGCTGTTGTGTCTCATCTGTAACGAGATCATGGCTGATGCTGCTGTTATTACCTGCTGCGGAAACAGTTACTGTGATGAATGTACGTGTTCTTCCCGTGTTGGTTAAT